TTGAACCCATTATCCTGTGCAGGTGTAAAGGATACTTGGCAAGACTTTCCTGTTAAATGGGGAACAATTTACCCAGGGGCTGCTAATTCTCTCTCAATTATGAGGTGTTACTATCCTCTTGTCTGCTTCTTTTCTGCCCACTGTCAACAACTACTCCCATTCTGTGAGCCCTGATGATCATTCATATTAAGCGCAATTCCTCATTTGTCAATTAGGGTTTTTGGTTTTGCTGCTTTTTTTTTTTTTTCCTGCCGTGCTGCACAAATCTAACTCCATCTGTTGAGATCACACAAGCAGTGGCAGAGCCTGACTGCATCTCAATGATGAGTGGAGAAACTCTCCAGGCATGCTGGGTTTCTTCCCCCTTTCCTGGAGGTTGGAGCAAATATTTGTGCCCATGCAAGTAGCCAGTGGCTGCTAGGGTTTTCCTCCTGTGAGGCTAACACTTCCCTGCTCTTGGTATCCACTGTGATGACAAAGATGCAAACAGATGCCTCGAGATTGTATAGTGCCCAGATGGGGCACAATCATAGTCTCACTAATCATGCCTGTCAACTGAACAAGGGACGTGAGAGGGTCATGACTTGGACATTTCTTAGCTAGCTGAAAATCCACCCCCCAATCCCCTCCTCCTCCCTTCTGTACTCTTGCCTGGCCTCTCAGTAAATAAGCTTCAGCCACACAGCTCCTAAGATCACTGTACATACTTGCACATGTTATATATTACACAGCCCCAAGGTTCAAATAACTTGCCATCTGTTCAGAGGTAGGCCCTGCTACAACAAGCTCTGTCCCTGCACAGCTGCAAGAGGAGGTGAGAACTTGGAGTAAAGAACTGGTACCTCCAAAAGCAACAGACTGTCCCTCCCGGTCACAGGCACCATGGCCTGTGCATCAGTGTAGTGTCTCTGCCCAGTCCATGCCTCTGCCTCATGTTCCTTCCTCTACCTACATAGGCAGCAGCAGACTCATAGGGAGCTCTGGGCTCCTTATCATATTGGTTCATTGCTCTTAGAGGCTGTGCTGTTGTGCATTTGATGCAACACTGTATTGTGATGCACGGCTTGAAGACTTTCCTACCAGTTTTTCTTGGGGGATGCTGCCTTACTTCAGGCTGATATGCACATGCTGTAGCTGGTGATCTCTGATTTCTCGGGCCAGATGCTCTCTTAAGTTCTGCTGAGCTGTGTCCACTTACACCAGCAGTGAAATTAATCCTCGGCCACTCCAACAGCCAGTGCTGCATTGCTGCACCTAACCCCTTGGCTAGCTGCTCTCTCTGATGCCCTGGTGACTTGCTTGGACTGAGGGCAGGAGAAGGAACAGGTGAAGCACATCACAGCTGATCAGTACTGCTGGCAGTGGGATCCTGCAGTTTTCAGGATGTTTGTTATGGGAAGGGGGAGGTGTCCCTCCTTCATCTAAACTCTCTGAACTGTCCGAGAAAGGGCCCTGAGGCCACATTTTAGCACTCATGCCTACAGACATGTGCTGAGACTGACACTAGAGGCAGTAAGGAGTTCCTTTGGAAGGCATGAGAGATGCTTTGAGGTTTTGCTTGAGTTTGTTAGTCTCAGGCATCCTCTCTGCTTGGGAGTATGCCAGGGACTTGATGCACTGGGGTAAGAAAGGAGATCCTCTGGGCAGAACTAGGATTGTGACAAGAGTCTTTGTGACATGTCCAAGGGAGATGCTTCTTTTGGAGGATGGGGCCTTTTAAATAAGGTTTCTCTGTGGTATGTTATGGGGATGGTGTGCACTGGATTTGCAACATCACCCGAGCATAGTTATGCCCAGCTTGGCCCAATGCTCACAGTACTCAAACCACAGATCTTGGGAGTTATAGCAGAGGAACGGCATGTATAAGTGTGTGGCTCATTGATTGTTTTAACAGTTCAGCTTTGTCCTGCAGCAGGTTTCTTTCTGTCCAGAGCAATATATCTAGGAGGTGTAATGCTGGAGCTGCTTGCTCCTAGTTGGAAATCCTGTGTCCCTTCTACACACTGCAGCTTCTGCCTACTGAATACCAGCCTGTCGTGGAGATGGGTCTGTCTGCACTGATAAGCTTGCACTGTAACAGGAGCGCTTTAGAAATTAGTATTTGGAAGTTTCAGGTGCATTATCTCCGGTGCTGGTGAAACCCCTTCAAAGGAACGGGGAATCATCGACATGTCCAGCAGCCTAATGGTATTAGGGACATCTATAGTTCTGGCAGCGTGCTCGCCGAGTGTGAAATTACACTGCCAGCAAAGGGAGGGTAAAGCGGGCCCTGATTATATCAGCACACAGGAGAGAGCAGCCTGTCACCCCACTGGACTGGAATGACAGTGCCTACCTGCATGTCTTGCTTTCCTGCTCATTTGCTTCCAGCTCTTCCCTGGTTTCTCTTGACCTTCCCCACCCCCCGCTTCCCTTCCTTCCCTATCAGCTCCTGCTTCCCTAGTAATTGCACTCTGCTGCTTGACGGAGTTGTTTGTGGTAGCTTGTGCAGGCACGTGTAGGGTGAAGGATTCATGGCACAGGCTGGATTAGGTAGATCACATTGCACACAGGGAAAGAACCTGAAACTAATGCCACAGGCCGGCTCATTGCCCTCCCCGGTACCTCCTGCACAACTAATTTTAATGCCGTCTCTGTCTCCACGGGAGTCTCAGCATTTAAGTTAAATTCTCATTTAGGCTTACAGGCTCCTTCGTCCTGCATGGTCACCCTCCTATTTCCCGTTCAAATGGAGCCTGCCCCATGCCGGTAAGAGAATTAGAGTCTGTAGTCTGTAGCTGTTGTAGATCCCAGGCTCACCAGGGACCTGAGTATCTTCAGCTAAAACATGTATCTAATGCATCTCTGGGCCTAGGGGGGGTACAGTGAGTGAATGCATTAGCCTTTTAATCCTGACTGCCCAGTATGGACTCTGGCGAAGTCAGTAGCCTGAATGAGCTTAACCAAGCCACTTTCCTAAATGACATTCGTCCACAATGCAAACCCGCTGCACAGTATTTAAGCGTGACTGACAGCTTCCTTGCAGAGGGAAGAGCAGGGCTACGAACTGGCTCATTGCAGAAATGCGGGGGATTAGCACAGCTATGTGGTAAAGAGGGAGTTAAAGGGGTGTTTCAGGCCGGAATGGAGGTGTGATGGGCAGAGCTGGTGTAGGTGAAGCTTAAATAGCCCCACTACCTAGCAATAAACTTGGCACATGCCATGTGGTGGGCACACTGAGAGCCCAGTTCCAAAGTGAGAGGAGTAGTACAGGAGAGAAGGAATAGTATGTGGTAGCCAAATGGGAGAGCCCAGCACTAGGGGATAATTAAAGAAGGAGCTGAAGTGGGAGACAAAGTTTCAGTAAGGGTTGCCAGCCATGAATGTTTGCACAGCAGCCCAGCAGTTGGAAAGTGCAGTAGTAAAACCAATGTGCAAAAGGAGGGAAGAGGGAGCCAAACTGTTTAGGAAGGGACAATTCCTGTATGTGAGCTTTACATGGACAGTTTATTTCTAGGGCTCATGCTATCTGCCAGCTCCAAGCCTGGCAAAAGCCAGGGGGTACATGGTTGGCTTGAACGAATTCTCTGGAGTTTTTGTGAAATGCGGAGTGGCACTGGAGCAGAGGCCAGTGGTCTGTCAGGAAGCCTATGTAAGGAAAAAAATAGGAAACACCTACCCTGGCAAAATCAGACTGACTCTTGTTGACCCTTCCAGCCAGGGCCTGGCAGGGTATTGAAGTTAACTGTACTTTGTATGTTCATTGTTTCCTTGCATGCTTCTCTCCTGGGGTGCTCTGTGCACAATGTGGCAGTCTTTCCACTGTCCCCCCTCCCACTGCACTTCAGTGGCCACATGTGGAGAATGGGTAGGATCATTTAAAAATTGAGACTTGACTTCCTGGCCTGGGGCATTAAAGGGCCTCATTTTCTGAGCTCAGTTCTCACTTATTGCAGATGTAATGTAGGGTTGAAGACATCCAGTGCTTGAGGGAGGATGTTCTGTTCTGCTTAAGTGTAAGCGTAGACACACTGCTAGGTTTGGGAAGCTTCTGTTCCTCCATGCCATCCAGTAGAGATGTCCAGAGTTTAGCGGCCTGGGTTGCTGCATGTACTCTGTGAGGTTGGAGTATGGAAGCTGTGAGCATCTCATGGTCTTGCAAGTCCGTAACTCACTCCCAGACCTTGCTGACAGGCCCAGGTCTTTCCAAAAAGCCTGCAAGCCTTTGGGCTCAGCCTGGGCAAGTGCAGCCCCCTTTTGGGTTCCTACAGCTGTCCCATCAGTGACTGGTGCTAGGAGAGTTCAGGGTATGGAACAACACTGAGGACACTTACACACTTAAGGTGGTTTCATGACCACTTTGTCGTGGGCATGAGAAGGAAGGCAGCAGAGGGAGACTTCTTCAGCCTCTCCCATCTGAGGTAGGTATGGTTCAGTCCTTGTGCTCAGGGGAGTGCTGAGACTCTGAAGCGTTAGCACTGAAAGCGGCAACAGCCTTTCCAAAGCACCTGGTCAGAGGGAGATGAGGGCAACTTTTGAGGTTGCTGCTCAGGCCTGCAGAGGAGGGTGAGCATATGCCACCTTCTCCAGAAGATATGCTCTCTGGAGCTGTCAACGTCATGCTGAAGTTAAGTGCATTGCTGCCAGGAGCCTCTGCTAGAGTGTATGTCTTATTTTAAACTCCTGTTGCAGATCTATGCTTGGAGTGAATGCTACAAGTGATGAAAAGTGTCTATGCTCATGGTCAGATTTTCCCAGAAGTGCAGCTTAATTCGTTTCAATTCCATATTTCTTGCAAGCCTTGTAAAGTGCCAGCTCCCTGGCTGAAGCATAGCAACCCCTTGGGCCTTGTAATGGTCTGAGGCCTTGTAATGGCGTGTCACGCCCCATGCCCTTGCCCTGACACAGTGCGAGGCTGCCTAGGGGAGTAAGTGGTCCAGTGACTGGCCCAGTCTAGGATATTTTGCGGTGCTTGGTGTCCGCACATCTTTTAACCTTCATTCCCCTTGCCCACGTTTCAGCCACCGAGGTGACGCAGGAGACAGTGGAGTCCCTGATGCAAAAGTTCAAAGAGAGTTTCCGCACTAACACGCCCATTGAGATTGGCCAGCTCCAGCCAGCGTTGCGCAGCACGTCGGTGGGGAGACGGAAACGCAGGAGCAGGCCCCGAGGTAAGAGTCCATCCTTCACCATGTCATCATCTCCCCTCCCCTTCTCACACCTCTGAACTGCTCATGGATACAGGGGACATTGCTTTGCAGAGGCTAATGCACAGGCCAGTAGCATACCCAGAGTGGCTTCATAAGCAAAAAGACTCTGGTGCTCAATTGACCACACAGAAGACAGTAGGTAATGGGTGCCCTAAAGTCATTCTCTGGGTGGAACAAAAATTGTCCTGATGTTTTACTTTTTGGACAACATCATACATTTTGGATGGGGCAAGGAAAGTTATTAATATTTCAGCTTGATCTCTGTTAGGGAAGTTTTTGGCACAGTGCTTTTAGGTTCATGTTACGCTTTTCCACAAGAGCTGGATGGAACCAGAGGGCACCTAGCACCTTTCAGGACTGAGCCCATTTATTCCTTCAAATTTTGATCCCTGGATACTTGCCCTCTCCTGAGTAATAAGTTTCATGTAAATGAATTTGGGTTTCTATGCAAATCTTCCATTCTGGAAGCAGAATTGAATTTTTGATCACATCACTGGAGTTTTTCCTTGTTGCAAGCTTGCTGGGTTTTGACATCTATAAATAAGAGCTGTTCAGAATGGAGTTGGGGAATATAGGCTCACACCTCTTATCTGCACCTAGAGCAGATTGGACTGGATGATGACTTAGCCCGAGCGGGGAAACAATTTTTATTTATTTATTTTTATAAGGAGAATTGTAATGCAAAAATTGGCAGTGCAGTCCAGCATGCGAGAATTGGCAGTGCAGTCCAGCATGTTGATCTGGTTTTATAACCCAACGAGATACAGCTTGAAAGCATAGGTTGATTTGTGGCAATTGTTTTCCTTTTCTTTTTTTTTTTTTCACCCAGCTATTGCATGTCCTGATTAGACTGTGATCGGATGCATAGATCCCCCATACTGGCAGGTTTATGCTCAACAGTAGGAGATGCTGTTCTTCATTGGCATGGCTGTATTGCAGTGGCTTGTGGAGCACCATTCATATGGTCCGCATAGAGCTAATCGTAATCCAGTGGTAGAGTATTGCTGAAGTGCAGCATAGTGGGCTATCAGCTGGCCTCTCATGTCCATGGATGTTTACTAAAATTATAAAATCCCCTCCTGCTTCTTAACTGTCTAAATACAACCTTGCCCTCCTGGCAGGTGGGCACACTCTTTCACCATGCTAATAGGCTTCGGTTGCACCTAGAAGTTCCCTGCTTTCCCAGGTCAGGTAAAGGACCAGCTCTAAAAAGCAGAGTGCCCATGTAGTAGTTGATAGAGAAGGAATCTCCCTCCACTTTCAGTTGACCTTGGATGTATTTAGGTCTTAGATTTGCTTGCAATCCCTTCCCATGAAATAGGTAGAGTGAAGCTGGGGTGCAGTTTTCCCATTCTGCAAGCAGTGTTGGAGATTTTGAAGCCTGTTTCTGTTCTTAACAACTATTTGTGTCCTCTTGAAGGCTCAGATCAAGCACAGTGGCTTCTTAACCTGGCAGGGGAAATACCATGTATCTGTGTCCAAGAAGGCAGTTTTCCTGAACCGCCTAGCAGGAGAACTGCTCTTCTGGCATAGTTCAGTACCCGCCGAGGTGCAGCGGCTTTAAACTCAGTTTATGGAAATGAGAGTCTCTTCCCTTGCTTGCTCCGAGGGCCTTATGGCTGGGGGCAAGCAAAACTTGGGGGCATCCAAACCCCAAGCCTTTGGGCTTGGGCCTGCAAGTCGGATGCCTGCCAAAGGTTTTGGAAACATCTGAAGCCCCAGGTGTGAGTGAAGGATGTTTGCCGGTAGTAGAGCCACTTCTGGTTCTGGTCTCTTGGATTTGGAATTAGTTTTGGCTAATTTGGCCTCTGATACAAATTAAATTAAAAAAAAAAATTGTGGACCACAGTGGTTCAGGGCTTAGTTTCTATGCTGATCTCTAAGACCCCAATGTGTCTCTTCCCTTTGCTCTTTTCAAAGCCTTTGCTTCCTACCTAGTCTTAAGGCTCCTGTGTGCAGTACAACACTGAGCAGCATTCTCTCTCAAACTGCGTGTATCTGTAGTGTGAGAGAGAAGACGAGTCTGCTCTATAATGACTAAGAAGGAAATTCTTTATTGAGGGTATTGTGGGTTTCTTTGACTCTCTAGTGCCCATGGAAACTCTGCCTCTGCTGTCTAGTGTTCCTGTAACAAAAAAAGCTTTGATTCATGTCCCCCTCTCATGGGTAGGCATCATAGGATTGCAGTCTACCACTCCTGCTGTCTAAAGGGGCTGCTCCTTTATCACAAGCAGTAGATATATATGGCTCAGTGCTGAATGTCTAGAGTCTGTACCCTGCTGATAGTTGTGTAGAAGTGGCATGGCATCATCCCACAAGAAAACCTTCCCTGGAGCAGGCATGGAAGAGACCTCCAGCCACAGCACACTGCATGCTCATGCCCAACACAGTGCAAGTCTTTCTGTTGCAGAGCTGGAAAACCAGGGGAGAGCTGTTTTCCTTCTCTGTTTACAGTTGGTTTTATTTTTCATTTATTTATGAGTCTGAAATGTGATCTTTCATTCTGGATATATTTTCTTACAATACAGGTCTGGAGAGGGCTTTTTTATTATAGCTCTGGCCATAAATTATTCACTTAGTGTGGAGAAAATGTTCTGACTCTTTAACTGGTTTAAATTATTTGGTTTATTTTGTTGCAGTTATTCAAATATGTATATATGCATTTTGGTGTAAGGATAAAATGGGTGTTCTTTGGGGTCACGCAGGGATACTTATGCTCTTTTCCCTTCCCTGCTCCTTATGGTCCACATTACTTTCTATCCACTTTCAAGCCCCTGCAGGAGACCTTTCTTGTTATTAAAGGGATGAGTTTCCTCCCTGTAGAACAAAGCTAGATACAGTCTTTCCACCATCTCATTTGGGTTGACCGGGGGTGGGGGTGGGGTGTCAGTCAACAAGCACAAAGAGTTACCCAGACCCCTGAAATGAAACCTAAGCTGCTTTTCCCAGCAGCCTTTAGCACAGGAATAAGAGCTGCAAATCCAGACCTTCTGGCTGGGCTGGTTTGTTGACACACTGTCCCAGGTTTCTGCTACTTTCTGAAGTTTTTCTTTGATTTAGCTGGGGTCACTATGCAATGTCTCTGCAGACTTACAGAGCCTGCCTCGAGGCAGATCTTCCCTTTTTTCAGCCTAACACATCCTTTTCCTAACTGCATCCCTTTTTGCTTCATGAACACCCCCATGACCCTGCTCTAATCAGTAAGCTCCCTTCCCTGACTGGTACACGCCATTCTTGAGAATTGACTGTTGGACCAGTTAGAGCTACTTTGTAATGTGAAGGAAGCATCCAGCGGGTGCTAGTCTGCAACTTCCTGGATGCTTGCATTCGTGGCCTGCTTAAAGGAAGGAAAGCTTCTCTATTGAACCCTTAAACCCTTCCTCCCCATGCAGCATTTACACTCAGTTTTGGCTTTCTGGATGCAATTGCTGTGGCATGATGAAGACTAGCAGGTTGAATGTGCTTGTGATTTTGGCTTGAGATGAGCGTTGGGATTCTAATACCAGGTCTAATTTAACCTTTTCACTTTGTTCCTCTGTTTCACAACCCACTTGTGATGCTTCTGACAGGAAGGTCTTAAGGAAAGTTTGTTGGGGAACCTAGGCATCTCTTTGCTGAGAAGGACCTGAGCCATTAAAGCCTTACTCACATGAAAGCCACTATGGCCATGTATGTCCGGGACCCTAATTTTATGTTTTATCAGAAAGTCATCATCTTCTACCACCCAGCTTAATATTCTGTAGAGGATATTGTCTGGCTCAGGGCTTCTCTCTCTCATTAGCTCTGTGCGCCCTGGCTTCACCCAGATAGCGAAATAGGATTGTTTTGGAACCAGTGTGCACAGCTGCCTGTCTATAAATCTTCCCTGACATGCTTTCATAGTATTTTGCTTTCCTGAAAGTGTCTGTCTCCTTCAGGGAGTTTTGGGTGTGCATCTGAAATATGTTGTGTGTCTTATTTCAGCAGCAGGCTTTGTCTGGCCCAGCCACGCCAAGCAGGTCCTCAAAAGTTCCTATCTTGGCTTTAGTAGCAAACATCCCAAATTGGTCATGATGGCAGATGGTTGTAGAAAGGAAAGGGGGGAGGGGTTCACTAGGGCACTGGGTGTGCTTATGAGCAGGAATTTAACTTCTGCTTAGGATTGCAGTAGACTGGAAGCAACATCCTACCTACTCTTATAAGCTGGCAGAAATGCATGTGATCCTTGTGGATTTGTGGGTGTCCAAACGTCAAGGCTAGGGGCACACATTCAAAAAGGTTGAGCCTGAATTGATTCAATCTTTGCAGGTTAGTCTAACCTGGCTAGGCTGAATCAGTTTGTAACTGCACAGAAATGAAGGCACATGCCTGCAGCGGCTCAGGCTAGAAGCCAGGGGCTGCTAAAGCAGCCCTCCCTTCCCTTTTACAGTGCTGAGCTGAGGGGGGCATGGCCAGGCCCCGGGAAGGTTGCTCTGATTAGGAAGAGGTCCCCACTCCCCATTCTGACCAGCCACAGAAGGGAATTGATGATGCAGTGTTTTTCATCCCTAACTCAGTGTTTGTCACCCCATTAAGAAAACACCTGAGGGACATTAGTAGCTACTTGCTGGTTCCACCTTTGTCCAGTCAGCCACAGCACAGACTGCAGCCAGCATGTGGTCTGCTAGCTAATGCTGAGAGGTCTGTATAAGGCAGAGGGACGGGGCTGGCCCTGCTGTGGAGCAGAGAGCATAGAGAGCGTGCTTAGATGCTGGGGGAGTCTGGTTTAATTTAAACCATCAAGAGACAGACATTGCATAAACTAGTTTGACCCAAATCAGTTAAGTCTGATACTTCAACCAGGTTTATCTCAAACCGGGTTCAGCCATTTCCAAGCTGGTTTATGTGCACTGAACATCTGTTCTGTTACAGGTTTAAACCAGTTCCTGATCATTTAAACCAGTTTGTGTCTGCCCCTAGCCCAAGGGTCTGGCTGAATGCCA